GAAAGTATGTGCTTTTCTGTCTAGACTCTCACGCGCTGGTTGACCACTGCCCCGTAACCGGGTGCCAGTCGTATTCGTAATGCGCTCAATGAGGCCACGAGCGTCACAGCGTTCGCCACGCTGCGACGCGCATCGCGCGCAGGTCAAGGGAGGTTATCCCGGATGGGAGACGTGCGTTTTCTTCTCCTGGCGTCACCCGTCAGGTCACCACAGTTGCGCGATCATTGAAGCTTGAGGTTAAGTTTGGGTTTAGACTTAGGTTAAGGCTTATGCTTACACATTGGCTTATCCTAAGCCTATGACTGGGCCTAATCTTAGTCCTAAGCTTGCTCGAAGGAAAAACGCTGAGCACCCCCCCCCCCAAACCAGAGAAAACGAGAACACGCTTCAGCGCGTTAACGCCTCGCGAATTGTGCGTAACTTCAGCGGCAACGTTATAATTCACGCTCAGTTCGGGTGCTCACCGTGTCCAAACGGCTTAAGTCTCGGCCGCGTTTCTAGAGCGGTACGGTAAAGGATTAGGGTCAATTACGGTAAAGAAACTGACCCAATCAATGGGACTACCATAGAGCGTGGCGCGAAACCCGCCCCTATGTTTGGCGCGCAACGTTATGAGGGTTCTTAGCGGATCAATACGAATACTTTTCTTTGAAAAACGAAACCTTTACCTATTTGATCGCGTAACATGACCTTAATACAGTATCATTCTAGCTAAGAGATGGTTATTGAGAATAATCTGTATTGTAAATAATGCTGAGTTCGCAGCCACAGAGGATGTGTGCTTGGTACAACGGTGCACCGCCACCACTGCTAACGTGTCAAATGCAATTGTGTCTGCGTCTCGCTCGTCCAATATAGTCTCTCATCTCCGAGTCTATTTTCTCGTGTTTTTTTTATTTTTTATTTTCGTTGCCTATGACAAGGCATAACTTTTGATCGATCGTTTGTCTTGCAGAATTGCAGATCATCAACTGAAGAAACCCTTAATTGCGAAGTTCTGGTGGTTTCCTTTTTTCTGGCATCTTTTTATTACCTCTATGTCTATTTTCGAACGTAATAGTTTTTGCTTGGCAAGGCTTCTAGGTACTTAAATATTGAATGCTGAACTCAGCACGGGTCCAGGTCAGCATGTCCTTTTGGTGACGATGGCGCTGTTCACAAAGGTCGCGAATGTGTCGTTCTTCCTGCTCTCAAATCCGCAACAGGGGCAGCAATGGCTTGCAAAGGCTGCTTCAGCCGTTCTATGTACATCTACTTTTTCAAAGCATGCTGACGTCTGGTGTTGTGGGGAAGGGTACGAGCCGTAAGCTCTGATACAGACGTTTTGCTGTAAAGGGCAGAGCTTACGACTTGGTCTTCCTCGTAGTGGTTTTCTTTCACTGCAGATCCTTGTGTTTTTCTGTTTTCAGTTCATCGCGTCAATGCTTCGTTTGGTCTCACAAGGAAGGAGGTCGAAGAGGAGCAACAAAAAACCATTTTCGAAGTAAATGCTCAGCTATATACCGTTTCTTGGTTAACAGGCTCTTAAGAGCTTAAGCCACCTTTTCTTTGTATCAAAAGATGGGTAGATCTATGAATATGCAGGTGTAGGTATCAAGGATATCCCTCACATGGCAGGAACACCTGCCACTCGAAGACCAACGGTGTACACATCGCTTGAAACTAGGGGAACGTCCGTTCGCACCATTCGATTGGAGAGGTCGCATTCGGGTTGAGCAAGATTAAAGGGCGCATTCGGAGTTGAACAAGATTAAAGCGAGGGATTACGATAAGTTTGGACTGGGTTCATAGTGGAAGTGGAGATGCTGAATAATGCCCCAGTGGCGAAAAAAGCAAAGAAATCCGTCAAGAAGGCGCAAAATGGGACCCCTTTCTTTGCCCGTTGACCTCCGATAATGGACGAGCTAGCAACCAATTAGGAGGTCGTTTGCACATGTTATGCTGATAGCCTCTATCATTTCAGCAAGCATCATGCTTTGATTGATCACGCATCCCATGAAAAGTTATAGGATACACTCTGGAAGTGGAATATCTCGTCACATTGGCAATCGAAGGGCGCTGCTGCTGGGGGCGGAGCACAGACCGTGGCGGGGCTCAGAAAGGAATGGCAAGCCTTGTACGCTGCAACTAGCGCACCTTTGACCACAAAAACGCAACATTTCGTTTCCTTGGGCCCCTGACTACTGCTTCCAATGGTGCATGTACTTCCACGCTGCATACGCACTTTATCGTAATCTCTCGCTCGTACCATCTCTTGCGAAAGATGCGAAAAGGGGGAGATATTCATAGTTTCTGAACTTGAAGGGATCGTGGCAGTGGAAGGGAGAAGGGGTTGTTTTTGACGCTTTTTGTCCCCCCATATGGCGTGGCGAAATTTTCACGAAAGTAGTCAAATTCTGTGGATTTGCCGAGAACAGAAAAAGTAGACAAACTCTATAGATTTGCCGAGGACAAGTGGCGGGCTGGGCCGAGTCCACTGGGACCTCAGAATCTGTAGAAAAGCTATGACGGTTGTTGGGGTATTAGAGGGGCGGGGGTCGCATTACGGGAGCTTCTCCAGACTGATCTTCGTGGTGGTGGGGTGCCACGTAAAAAACGCGTAAAATGGGGGATCGCAAAATGTTTGGGAAAGCGCAAACACGATAGTCGACTCCCGGTTTGGAAACAGCAGACGCGAGGTGCCGCTACCAAGGAAGCAATGATCAGGAATCAACTCCCGCCATATATAGGCCAATTCCCCGGGTAAACCGAAATACTCACGTATTCGGCTGAGTCAGTAAGTGATTGCATCAATGGGTTAGAGATGGCGAACATTGGCCTTGGACCTGAGCAAATTCGGGCAAGAATCAGTCATCTTAGAGGAAATCGCGATACATCAGTGTGAGCGAATATGTGGGCGTATCTGATGAGAATGGTCCTCTTTTTCAGGACCTCACAATATGGGATCCAAGGCTCCGAGCCAAGATGGATAACGTTACAATATTCTTGGCCAAGAGGCGTAGTTAATGTCCACTCGTTATAATAGACTGTTACTATAGCAGATATACCTAACGTATATATGTCCTTGGTTTAGGAGTGGTAGAACACGGACTTTCTCGATTGGTTGGTCGCTCAGCAGTTTGATCTCGCCTTCTCTCACATTTATGACGTCTGTCCCATTGGCCTCATCCACCACGCTAAAATTCCCTCATGGATATGGCTGAACAGGTATGTTTTCGCATTCTGAGGATACTTGGATGCTAATCACGAATCCATTTCTTGCGGGAGTGTGATGTCGGGAATGGATTAGTGGTGCGGGTATCCACATGGGGAGCCGACAGGTTCCGAGAGGCGTGACGATTCCACGTAGAGGTAAGTTTCTAGGCACTTTCGTAGACCAATGGCAGCCACCGGGTGCGCTGACAAAATCTCAACTCCGCGTGCTGCCCGATTCAAATGAATATTGGAAAGTTTTCTTCCTTTGAAGAACCTCAGTGAGCGCGCGTAGGGTGGATGCGGGAGTGGCAGGCAGCGTTGGGGCGACGGGAATCTCACAGGTGGGCGGAGTCAAATTCTTTATTGCAAAAATCTCCGACTCTCTGCTATATGCGCAAACCGGCGTGTCCAATGGTGAGAATGCGTAGAAAATGAATATAGAGCTCTAATAACGCTGCAGACCCTCAAACTCGATATTATCTCTAACTTAGATCTTTCATTAAATTCAATTCTTCATGAGTATTATAAGTAACACTTGTTTGTTTTGTACTTTAGTAGGATTGCAGGGCGCCTTGAGAGATCTACTTCTGTACAAGTCTGTTTTTCTCTCGCGTCGCCCTCAGGCAGATACTAGTAGATGAATTACTGCTAATCGATAGAAAGGGAAGGAAAACATGAGTTTGCGACTGATATATAAAATCGAACCAAATCAGTCCATGCAGCAGCCATCGCAAGTGCATGCAAAATTATTCCATTATAAAACTCTGAATTTGGAGATAGTAAGATTCGTTGAATGATTCTTTCTTCTTCTTTGAATGATTTTTAGTGTGAAGGCCCCTTTTCCTCCCATACAATATTTGTTTAGCTGTAATTATGGAAAGCACAGATGAGATGAACTTTGTGGAAAGGATGAAGAGTTATTGGACATTCATCTAACAGGAATAGTGGAAAAAGTTATTATATCTTTTGAAATGAATTCTCACAAGTAGTTTCTTATTTTCCGGAGGTTGATATTTCGATGAATTGGGTGCAGAAGAAGTGGAGATATTGGCGCCGAGCCCCACGGGGCGAGGGCGTGCCTATCACTACGTAAGTACTGACTAACCTTGACAAGCGTTACCTGCCGTGGCGCAGCCCACCTCCAAGTAGAGAACTCGGGCTGTGATTGGATGAATGCTGATACTGTAAATGCTATGCCTTCCATTTCCATTAACATTTCCGAATTAGCTCCGCCCCATCCATCACTCTCATTGCCTTTGAGGGCGATGTCAGACTTTGCGAATTGAGCGATTCGCTAGCGTCCGCGGTCGCGTCGCGTACATCAAAGGGCTCGATCCCTGTTCGCGACGCGACCGCGGACGCTAGCGAATAATCAATAACGAATTCTGACATCGGCCTAAGGCGGAGGAACGCTGTATGTAAAAAGCTACGGTTCGGGACGGGTATTGACTACTCTACGGGTTCTGAAGCAAGTACTGATTGCTTAGACGAGATGACCGGCCGAATAATGAATATTTATGATTCTGTTGGGTGATTGGATGCTTTATTTTTCAATATTTAGAATGTTCGCTGATCGAGAGACGGAGATCTTCCGCGAACTTATCGATCCGAACTTTCCTGACCTTGTCGACGTTGCAAAAACATGTCCTCTGGTAGTTCTTCTTGATTATGCGACATAAAAGCAGCTTCTGCAAACGTCATTTCAGGTGATGGTGAACTCCAACGAACTGTTCGAGTTGACTCGACCAACACTCGCGAAAGTTGTGAATATTGGAGGTGTTGGCATCCAAATAAAGGATGCCTAAACCCCTGACCAAGGTCGGCCTGTCTTTTCAGAATGATGTGCATATAGCTATAAT